ACAGCCCACGACCGGTTTCGCCCTTCTTGGGGCTCATCAGGTAGATGCAGTCCCCGAGTTTCCGTCAACCTTATGTTCTACTTGAAACCAAACTGCACGAAATTAGCGAATGTACACTCACTTGCAAACTAATTTGATTCTTTGAGAGACTCACCTGGAACCCAGTTGAATCTCTCGGCTTTGATGTTTCCAGGCAACTGAATGTGCTTCACCGAGCCGCCTCATGTTTAAGTCGCTACGATATTCGAGATATCGCGATACATATATATTTTTGTAATGCATTACTCGGGGACTGCGCCTACCTGAGCCCCGAGAAGGGCGAAACCGGTCGTGGGCTGTCGGGGAGTTTTCAGCAACCTCATGAAATGCACTTCCCTTCCCTCTGCTTTATATGGTTGCATGATGACCCTGGGATATAATTCTTCCCTCTCCATATGTGCAAACAAATACAACAGTAGGAACTGCTAATACCTTCGGATATCGAGGATAGGATGTGATCGAAAAACACTGGCACCAATGCGGTCGGTCGTTATATGCGGGATAAGCTTCAAGGATTTCATAAAACTCAGGTTCGAAAATTGGAAATCAGAGTAATTCAACACTTACCATGCCTATACCTTCGAAAGCGAATATGACGATGCTGAAACCGATGAGCAGATTTTGAAAATTCGTATAAGCAGGGAAAGTGTTGTAAGGCTGAAGGCCGGCCGTGAGGAGATAGGCCAATACCAGTATAGTCCCAATCATAGTGGCAATATTGGCGACCATAGAGAGCCGGGCGAGTATACGCATATCCACAGACCAGCAGAGAGGTATCAGTAGCAAGGTGACCATGAATCCGATAAGGTAAAAATTCTGTGACTGGTCGGGGAGAAAAGCCCGCACAAACTGGGAGATTGAGACAAACAACAATTTCGGGGTGAGCACGGATAGGGCTAGTTGGTGTGAAGATAATCTGATACAAAGCGTAACATACTGAAGTAAACATACGAGTAAAAAGCCGAGAAGTGATTCCTATTTTGGGATGAAGAAGTGATCCAGGGTGATCTCAGGGAACATCCATGAGAAGTTGATCCGAGGCTAACCGGTATATGCGAGTGGCGGGAAGTATGTTTACATATGCCCCATTTTGCACCGAGATTAGGCCACCACAAACCGACACCGTTCGGTGGTTAAATTGAATCCAACCCATACACCAGCTCATTGATCTCCACATCGACTATGCACTGTTCGACAGTGCGAATCCACGAAGAAGTACCCACCGAGCGCCCCCTAATTTGCAAATAAGGAGGGACTCCCTATAAATGAAACGGATTCGCAAAACCGGTTACTCAATAATTTTATGTACTTGTTCACATCAGTTGTTGGTACGTCGAACAAATTCATTCGCAGCATAGTAACTAATGCCATACGTTGTTGGCTACATCACCAACGATAGTCGATTTCGAGGTTCTGAAGCCTGGGACAGTCCGGTATATAGTAGCTCCCGACGAGCAAATTCCTTTAGAGATCTTTGTTTCGCTGCTCGATGGGAAACGATGCATCTATGGGAGTGGGGTTTTATAAAACCCCACAAGCATCTTCTTTTCAAGATAATATTTTGGTGGTCATCCAAGAAACGCATGATGAGGCGACTTAGAAGTCGCCTATCCAATTCCTCCCACAAAAGTAGGCGCCGTACATCCACGTCGACATCCCATGAAAAGTACAGCTAACGAAGTACTTTGAAATTTGAAATATCACCGTGACAGGCCTAAGTGGCAACCACATCGACAGCATGACATCAGTGTTCAACACCGATGCTTCACTGCCGTACAACCGTGACTTATTTGAAAGCCTTATTGTAAAGAAAAGA